CAGCCCCGACGCCGCCCCGCCCTAGCGGCGAGGTGCAGGTCGTCACGGCGGACGGCGTGAGCCTCGCGTACCCCGGCACGTACGGCCTCCACGGGTGCGACCCGCACGACAGCGGGCTCGAGCCGTCCTGCAACTCGACCGGCTACCCCGTCCGGTGCGAGCACGAGTGGTGCTGCGTCGACCCGGCCGCGTGCAGCACCGAGTACAGCACGACGCCTACCCGGCCGGCGTCAGCCTCCACCGCCATCGTCATCGCCGCCACCGTGCGGACGGCGTGAGCCTCGCGTACCCCGGCACGTACGGCCTCCACGAGTGCGACCCGCACGACAGCGGGCTCGAGCCGCCCTGCAACTCGACCGGCTACCCCGTCCGGTGCGAGCACGAGTGGTGCTGCGTCGACCCGGCCGCGTGCAGCACCGAGTACAGCACGACCGCGTACGTGGTGGGCGCCGCCCTGCACTACTCGTACCGTGCGTGCGGCTTCAGCAACGAGTTCGAGAGCTGGTTCCACCAGCCGCCGCCGCCGCCGCTGCCGCCGCGCCCTCGCCGCCGCCCTCGCCGCCGCCCTCGCCCCCGCCGCCTTCCAGCAAGCCGCCGCTCTCGCCCTTGCCACCCCCCTCGCCTTCCGTTATCCCGCCGCTGTCCGCCACCGGTGACGCCGCCTTCCTCGCCGCCGCCCGCACGGCCGCCTTCGTCAGTACCGCCGCCGTCATCGCCGCCTCCGTCAGCGCCGCCACAGCCAGCACACCGCCGTCGTCATCGCCGCCACCGTCAGCGCCGCCACCGTCAGCGCCGCCAGTCCTCGACATCGACCCTCGACCGCCGTCATCACCGCTCCAGTCGACGCGGCGTTCGACCCGGCCATGTGTGCGTGAGAAGCCCTACGTGGCGCTCTTCGGGCTCGTCCGCATCGAGGACGGGCTCTCAGCTCACGAAGGGCGGCGGGCCGTGTCCGGAGAAGGTGCCGGCGGCCCTCGCCCCTCCCTTCCCCAACCCCCTCACCGCCGCCGGCGGTGGATGTCCCGGTTTGCGGG